TTGTGAATTACTCCCTTTTCCCAGGAAATGTGGTAAATCTGTGGGAACAGTTCTTGGGAATTACTATTGACTAATCAGACCGAGTTCCAAGTTCTACCAAGTGAGAAACAAAGATCATTAGGAGACATTTCAACTACCCTTAGGAGGAAGCAGGAGGTTTTCTTCTGGAATTAAACACTGAGCACTTCTAGAAATAACCCACTGTGTAGCCATGCTGCGGGACGAGGAAATGATTGGCTCAGTCCAAATGGAAGAGTCCAAACGCTGTCACTTGGAAGAGATTCAGAAATGAGAACACTGCCAAGGCCAGGCGCTGTTTGGGGACGTTCATGTATTGTCGTAGCTTTTACCAGAACTCCTTTGTACAGATGAGGAAACTGAGGTTCAGGGAGACCCGTGGCTGTACAGAGCCACAGGCTTGCTCCTGCTGGTGCTGAGTGCTGACCTTGGCTTGTCTCCAAAGGCAGGCTCTTCCCCAGAGGAGAGTCGCCTGGCTCTACGTTGTTTCTGGGGGAGAAGAGGAGGCCAGGACTTGCTTGGCATCCATGGCTGACCTGGAGGCTTGGACATTAGTTTTATGGAAGATTTTAGCCTTACGTCCTTAGAGGAAACCCCAGTTTGGGGGTTAAGCTTGATTTTCACCTGAGCTATGCTGTGGAAAACAACCTCCCGGGCTGAGGAGATGGCTGTGATGTGTCAGAGGTGGGATTAGAAAGCCTCCGCCATCACTTCTAACCCTGAGTTTCAAAAAGGCAGGAATAAATCTATTCATTCTGTCTCCGCTCAGGTTTTTCCAGACAAGTCCATGTACACCCCGTCACCACTGAGTCTCCCCTAGTTAGTGTGTGTGTGTGCGCGCGCGTGTGTGTGTGTGTGTGTGTGTGTGTGTGTGTCTGTGTGTGTGTGTGTGTGCGTGTGTATACCTTTATACACATGGATTTTTACTTTGAAGAATTGCCTCACATGATTGTGGGGCTGAGTGGTCCCACAATCTGCTATGAGTTAGAGAACCAGGAAAACCAGTGAAGACCTGAGAACCAGGGTTGCTGATGCTGTAAACCCCAGTGTGAGAGAACATCCTGCCCTCGGTGGATGGGATGACGCCCACCCACTTTGGGGAAGGCATTTACGTTACTGGGTCCACCAAGTCCAGTGCTAATGCCGCCTGGCAAGGCCCTCACAGACACAACCCGAAATAATTAACCTGATACCCCATAGCCCGTCGAGTTGGTGCAGGAAATGAGCAATCTGGTTAGGCATCTGTGGGAATGTCCCTTAGATTTCCATAATAGCTAACAGCTACCGATTATGAGGCACTCACTGTGCGCTGGCACTCATGCAAACACTTCATATTGACTCACTTCATATACCTGGCAACTTGTAAAAAGCTAGTTATCAAGTGACTAGCGCTCTTCCTACTTTCCAGATAGGGAAACTGAGGCCCAGAGGAACTGCCTGCAGCTAAGCGATGAAGCCGAGTGGTTGGACTGGAGGGTCCTTGCTTTCAGTCACCACTGTATATTGCGTTCCCTGTGGATGGGGCTATGATAAAATACACTGCATTCACTGAGCACCCATACATGGTAAGCCTTCTGCCAGGCATCAGAGACAGTTATAAACCTGCAAATTAAGATAGATTTTTGCCCCATTTGACAGCTGTCAAAAGGAGGGCTCCATGTATTAACTAATTTGACCAAGATCACACAGCTCATGCTATTTCTATTAAACCTGTCATAACATTTTGATCTTACAATATTTTTGGAATCCATTTCATCCCTTCTCTATGAAGTGATATTTATTCTACCACTTGGACTCGGAGCTGCCAGCCAGCCAGTGGGATGTGGTCTCGTGTATATCAGGGATGTGGCAGGCTCCTCTGCAGTGCACAGAGTGGTGTGAGGACATGCCGGCAGGTACTCCAGGGCTCCCCTGGGGACAACTCCCTCTGGAAGTGGAGCCTGGCTTCCAAGTCTCCAGTTCCTTATGATCACAGCCCCAGTCCAGCCCCTGTGGGGACATCTATGTTCCTTCCTTTCTGGCCTCAGGGCTATGGCAGCCCCCTCACAGCCCCCGTCCCGCCACTCTTGCTCCGATGACTCATTTAACTTTGGCAAATGGTGCATCTTTTATACCTCTTCCAATTCTCTCAAGTCTGAGTGCAGTATTCGGATGTTTCCAAGCTGGCTCCTGGCCGTCTTGATCATGAAAAATTAACAGTTAACGGTTCCAGTGACCTGTGACATGCCGGCAGTGTGCTATTCTCTCCAGTGCTGCCCTAACTGCAGCACTCATCGCCGGATGAGGAACATGCTTATGGGTCTCACTCCTGCCCTGGTCAGCCAGGCTCTGGAAATATGCAGTTTCACATGGCAGCCATTAACCTCCTGTGGCTGTTTACATTTCCTTACTACTTAAAATTAGATGAAATTAAAGCTTCAGCTCATCTGTTGCATTGGGCACATCTCAAATGCTGTAGTGGCTGTTGAATTGCACAGGGAAGATATATAACATCTCCAACATCACAGGATGTTCTGGTTAAAGGAGAGACACCAGTAAACCATGGCCACCTGTGCCATGTGGCTAACGCTCTGTGTTTATGTGTTGGGAGGGAGAGAGGAGGTGCAGAACTCGGATGGGAAATCTTCCCACCTCGAAGCCAGTGGAGGTCTCTTCATCCCTCTGCTGCCTGGTTCCTTCTCTGTGGGGTTCTGGGGCCAACAGCCCACAGGCACGTGAGCAGGTGCATTGCTTCCCCTCCAGCAGATGAGCCACACAGCTCTCCTAGGTCTCCACCTCGCTCTGGAGAAACACTCAGGCTGATGAGGTGATTTTCCGGCGCATGCTGACAAGGCTGGCCTGGTGGAGGAATGCAGATGGAAGTAAGTCTTTAGGGAAATGCTTGTTTGGCTTTTAGAAGGCAGCTATGCTCACCACTATACCACCAACGCGGACTTGTTTGGCTTTTAGGCATCCTCATTCACATTGCTCATAAAGTAGTTATATTGTTCTCAGCTGGAGAGCCATCTGTTTCTTCTGCACCACCTGGCTCCAAAATTAGGCTGAAGAAATGCCCATAAATCCTTGTTGGTGACTTGTTTTTGTCACAGACATCAATATTTGCTGAAAGCAGTGTCACAGGGACCCAAACCAGCCACCCCTAAGGAGTTCCTGACTTCTACTTTGCTTCTTGGAACAAATGAACTTCATTAGCAGTAGGCACACTTACTCCACGTGTCCCTGGTCTTGGTGTTGGCGTGGAAATCGAACCGAATCTCAGCACTGCACGAGTCTGTTTCCAGCTGATTTGTTGTAATCTGGGTCTTGTCAGTTCTTCCTGTCCCTGAGGTTTGTCTTTGGAGAATGATACAGAGAATGTCTCCCAAGAAATGTCAGCAAATATGAAGTCATTAGAGTTGGTAGTTAAATCATTTCCACCCTGTATTGTAAGGCAGCTGGTACAAGCTTCAGCTCACTTATTTTTCAACAGCCCTAGGAGGGAGTAGGCACCACCCCGCTTTTGCAGGTGGAACCAAATCAAGGCCGATAGCTATTGTTATGCCTCCCAGTAAAGTGTTCCTTTTTCCCTATTTCTTTTAAGGACAATAAGCAAAACAGTAATTCAGTCGTGGGAATCTATGTGAAGATCTGCTTTTATTTCTGGTGCATGAAGCAAACATTAAGGAGAGACACCAAGGGCAGGTTGTGCAGTAGAGAGCAGCCTCCTTTCATGGTCCTCTCCTGACTGGGCTGCTCAGCTGTCTTCAGAGTCCTCCGCAGAGCAGAGCGCCCTGCCCTGCTGAGGCATCGGGTGGGGGGAGAGGGCCTTGGACTTTGAGAGACTTTTACAGTGTCCCTGATCCCCCAATGTCCACAGGTTTATTTTGGCAAAATTGAATTTGATTGAACGGCTATATTGACTCTGAAGAGCCTAATACAGTGAGGCGATATAAACTCTGAAACCTGGAAAGAGCCTGTGAGAGATGAGACTATGAACCAGGCCCTTTTCTAAGAGGTTTGCAGCAACCCTCCATTAATCTCCATCTACCAGTTGACAAACCGAAACTGAGCACGTCATTTGCCCAAGTTCACGTGGTTAATAAGTGGATGAGCTGGGATTTGAACCCATTTTATTCCAGAGTCTGAGTTCCTATCACCACCAGCAGGTGATCTAGGGAAAGTCCTGCTCATTGGAGATTCTGAGACTCAAGGCCAGCCTTGGAGGCCATTAGGAAAGGCATTTTCTAAGCATCTCCAACAGGCACGAAGAACTTTTCCTAAAGAGAAAAGAGCGTTGTAGGATATGCCACTTCCAGACCTGGCCTCCAAAAAGAGTGATTCATTGACCGGCATATCGCAGATTCCTATATCTGTGAAAGGAGATGCCCCTTTCCCATAGAAACTGACAGGGGGCTTTCCACTGTAGACAGCTACAGGAGTCTCAGATCGGATACTTCATGTTACAGCTCTTGGTTTTCTTGAAATACAATGGATTAAAAATTTCAAGTCAAGCAGCTGTGTGAACATGTAGCTGGCTACCCACATCCAGGTTAGTAAATGTTCCATAAAGCTGTCAGTGGACTGTGGAGAACAGACACCAACTCCATAATAAGGCAGCTGGGAAGCACTTTATTTAAATTTACATATATTCAGCTATAGTTTTTGTGTGTGTGTGTGTGTGTGTGTGTATGTGTGTGTGTGTGTGTGTTTTGGGGGGGTGTCCATTGTATGTTACATTTTGGGGAGATGTGTATATGCACACTTTTTCCAATAGAGTCTCAATGGGATCCGTGACCCCTAAACATTTAATTAAGACTCTGAAGACCTTTCATCACATGACTTACGTGTAGCTCTTCTGGAAAGAGATCCAGTGGCAGCTATAAAAGCATCGGTCTTATGAGTTTCAGGGGCCATCATGACCTGTGTCATTTTCACTTTGCTAATTTTCTTTGCGTGGATAAAGAATTGATTCGAATAAGACTTTCTACTGCTTATGTTTACAGACTGGAGTTTTCCACCTACCACATGGAGACTATTTCATTGAGCCTGTCAAAGAGCATCGCCAGGCCGAGGGCGAGCACCACCCACACATTGTCTACAGGAGGCAGAGGAAGGAGCCAGCCTGCGCACTACAGGGTATTGTGACTGAAATCTCCTCACTGGGTTGAGGAGCTTGTTTTGTTATGTTATTGTTTTAGTCCATCATGACCTGGTCTTATTTAAATCTGCTATTTCCTCCCCATTCTGTTGGCTAGAAGTATGCACCCTTGTGTAAGTCATTTCAGCTCCCTGTAGGTCTCTTCGTATTCTTAATGGAAAAGGAAGGGGCAGTTCCTACATCCTTGCCACGTTAGTTGAAGACACTCCTATGATATTCAGAGTGGTGAATTGGTTTAAAAAAAACAAAACCAAAACACAACTTTTTTGAACCCCTTAGAGGAAGATTAATTAAGGGAAATGAATTTCAGTTTCAGCAATGTTGTCATACATTCGCATGGAATAGTATCAGACAGCTTGTCATATCTGCATATGGAACGCAGATTTAAGTGTGTGATGATGCTGACGATGAGTGAAGAGAAACTGAAAAAATATCAACACATTATCAGACGATGAAATTAGCTCAGCTTCTTTCAGAGAGCATGTGTTTCTAGTTTGCTGAAGTTCGTCCCTGCCCCTAAGCCCCTGGAATGACCTTGCACTAAACAGTTTCAGGTAGCTGTCAGAGATAAAGGATCCAGGCAAAGATGATTTCAAGGTGGGTGGATGAGGAATAGCATAACTGATTTCACGGAGCAATTATCTAGCCAAATCCACTCACTCCCATACTACCTCTCTCTGCCAAATTGGTTACCTAGGGATCTAAGAAATATTGAATCACACACACAAAGTGTTACCTGCCATCCAATGTAGAACAGGTGGGTTTGCTGGCTGTCAAGGAAGCCTCAGCCCTGCTCTTAAGGTCTTTCGACCGATTATCAATTGATTGTGACCATTTCCCTTCCTAAAATGATCAGTGGGATTAAATGCTGGAACAGTAGCAAGAGATTCAAGAATACTCTAATGTGCTGTGAACACTCTTAAGGTATACATGACATTTGGAACTTTAAAAACTTCATAAATTGAAACGAACTTGGTCTGGCTGCACCAGGGAACTGCAGTGTTCGTCCACCATGTTCCCTGCAGGGATAATGGCATTAACTGGCAGTAGCCATGTCATTAGCCAACATCCAGGTACGCCTCGTTCTTCGGTCAGTTGGTGTTGTGAGAGTAAATTACTATGATTAGGTCAAGAAAGCTGGGCTTATGGAAAGCACTCCGTCCTGTAATGTTTGAAGCAGGAACACCCTGGGTGTTGGAAAAACCATGTATTGTCTGCCTTTCCCAGTGCATTGCTGTGCCTCCGCCTCACAACCTTTCACTTGGATTATTGCAAAACCCTCTCATTGGCCTCCCTTCCGTTGATCTCCCCCATTAGAAGTCAGAGAACGATTTCCAGACCACAAATCAAGTGGATTCTTTCCCATGCCAAGTGCCTGTCAGCCGGCCCCGGGATGAAGCCTGGGGTGTTTAAGAAGCTGCAGGAACGCCTTCTTTGTGTGACTCTGGCCTGCTTCTCGTTTCATCTCTTACCACTCCGGGCACAGCCCGTGCTATGCTGAACTAGTCGTGATTCCTCAGAGGAAATGCTCTTCATTTCTTCTCGCCCTTGCACTTGGGTTCCTTCTGCCTGAAGCCCATTCTCTCCCAGTGCTCCACTGCCTTCTCTGTGGGACTCTCTGGTGGCTGCCCCCCAGCCAGCATTAGGGGCCTCTCCTGTGACTCTTAACACAGCTACACCCCATGCCGCAGGCTTTATTATGAATGTCTGTCTGTGTCCCTCTGGGCAGAAAGCTCCACAAGGACAAGAATCATGTCTGCTCGCTCACAGGTGTGTCTCCAAGGCTGGGCAGAGCTCCTGGCCAGCACAGGACCTCCAAAATGTTGAGCTTACAAGAGCTATCTATGATGCATTGGTAGATCATTAGTTGTCGTTTGGTAGCTACCATATGTACTTATATGTAAGCGATGTGGGTGTCAGTATATATTTAAATTCTACCTACGTGGAGCCAGTTTAACCCATGAGAATACCCACACTTCCCTGAAGAAATGTAGTGTCTACAATGATGCCTTGCTGTTAAGGAGGAGAAATAAGAGACAAACGAGGCAACATTTGGGACCTGTGGCCTGAGGTTGCAGCTGAAAATGACTACTGCCAATTCTTATTTTGGAAAAAAGCAGTGGATGGGTGGATGGGTGGGTGGGTGGATGGGTGGATGGGTGGGTGGATGGGTGGATGGGTGGATGGGTGGGTGGGTGGGTGGGTGGATGGACAGAGGGATAGATACATAAGAGCAAGCACATACATTCATTTACTCAACAAGCTCTCACCGAGCCAGGGGTAGTGCTAGGTGGGGGGAGGCAGTGGGGAGCAGGATATCCGCCCAGGCAGCAGCATGGAGACAGACCCAAGGCAGCCTCAGGTGGGAAGGGCAGCTGTGCTCTGTAGGCGGATAAAGAAGAGCAGATGCCTGGGGAGGTGAGCAGGCAGGGAGGGCAGAGGCCAGGCCGGCAGCTGCAGCCACACTGCGCACCGGGCCGGCGTCTGAGCCTGGAGCACACAGGGTCTGGGACGTGGGGAACAGATTCTGAGCCATCCACCAGGCCGGTTTCTGGCATCCTGGGGGGTCTCCTGTGAGGGCCCCTCCTCTGTGGACTGCCCGGGGAGGACTGAAAACGTCCCTTTCCCAGGCACACTGTGCACTTGGATGGACGGGCTGCTTCTGGCAGCCCTTCCCGGTGGCTGTGGCCGGTCCCACCGCCGGGTCAGTGCCCTGTTGGGAAAACAGACGCTCCACCCCCACACTGTCCCACTTCTGTGCAGCAGCTGGGAGTCTCATAAATACCATAAGATTGTTTCTTTATGGGGAAGGAAGTTTACTGGTTATTTTGAAATCAAATATTTGAGGAAATTATCAGAGCACTTGAGGCTCTAAATTTTCTCCAAAGGCAGAGAAGGGGGTCCTCAGGGGACTTTCTGGGCCAATTAGCCAACGACGAGACCCTTTGGGAACTTGGCTTCCATTGGTTTGTGTGTCATTGGTTGCCCTTCCTGCAGGCAGTAATAATTTGGTGCTTTCTGTGGGCCCGACACTCAGGGGCACAGCTCTGAGCATGCCAAGTGGGATTGCCATGGTCCATAATCTAGCAGGAAGAGAACTGAAACAAAAATTAATTTTGAAATATGTATAGGCATGGGGATGAGTGCTGGAGGAGTATTTTGGGGGACTTGACGTGATGGGAAGGTTAGAGAAGGCCTCCCTCCCTGGTACGCCCAGACCGGTGCCGGCACCAGGGCGCTACTTCTCCTGCAGCCACTTCTACTCACTGTCCAGCCGTCGAGGAATGGGGCCTGGTAGGGATTGAGCTGTGTTGCCCCCAAACTCATATGTTGAAGTCCTATCCCACAGCAGCTCAGAATTAGAACTTACAGATGGCATCTTTAACGAGGTACGAATTTTAAAATGAGCTTAGCAGGGTGGGCCCCAAGCCAATAGGACTGGTGTCTTTATTTTATTTTATTTTATTTTATTTTATTTTATTTTATTTTATTTTATTTTATTATTTATTTATTTATTTATTTATTTATTTATTTATTTATTTTTATAGAGAGCAAGAGAGAGGGAAAGAGAGTTAGAAGCATCGATGAGAGAGAATCATTGATCAGCTGCCTTTTGCACACCCCCTACCGGGAATGTGCCCGCAACCAAGGTACATGCCCTTGACCAGAATCGAACTCGGGACCTTTCAGTCCACAGGTCGACGCTCTATCCACTGAGCCAAACCGGTTTCGGCAAGACTGGTGTCTTTAAAAGGAGAGGAAATGTGGACACAGACCTGTACATGTGAAGGCATGTGAAGACAGGGAGAGAATAGTTATGGGCAGACCCAGGAGAGGGGCCAGCTGCAGGCATCATGATCAGGTCACACGTGTGGGTGTGCCTGGTCTGTCACCTGCTCTGTCACCAAGGAAAGAAGTGGCCGTCTAGAAACAGAGCCTGGACTCCAAGCCCCTAATTGTGGGAAGGGAGAGAGGTGAGAGTCCAATGTGTAGAAGATTAGGGAGCCTACTTAGGCGGGCAGCTCTCTCTCGCTCTTTTCCTTTCTCTCGCTCTCTCATACACATGTTTCTCTGAAATGTGGGGCTTAGTTAAAAAGACTCCACATATATCTGAGTGATGTCAAATACAGTAGTTCAGGACCTCATGTTTTACCTAAATTTAGCCCAAGAGGTGTATGTGTTTGTGTGTCTATGGTATATATGTGTAGTGTGTGCTTGTGTGGTGTACATTTATGGTATGGATGTGTGTTTGCAAGTGCCATGTATGTATTTATATGTAGAATGTGTGTTTGTGTGTATGGAAGTGTGCTTGTGTATATTCATACGTAGAGTGTGTGCTTGTGTAGTAAGTGTGTTTATGGGGTACATGTGTGTGTCTTTAACACACACGTTGTACACTGTTGGCTCCGGGAGATAGACAGCTCGCTGCTGGCCATGGTGACTGGGATTTTCAGGAGGCTCTTCCCATCCGTGAGTGCGCCACGCTCAGAGCCGGGGGTGCGCCACGCTCAGAGCCGGGTGTTCTCAGGACAGAGGAGCTCTTTGTCCAAGCCCAGGCCCCGCAGAAGAAAGACTCTGGGCTGCACGCTGTGCTAATGATAGTGCCATGTCCTCCCTGCCAGCACTCCAGCCCTGGCTGCACTTCTGAGGGAGTCGCTGCTGGGTTTACACAGAAAGCTCCTTCCATGAAGTGCCGCAGCCCTCCCCCCCCCCCATGCCCCTCACAAAGCACTGCGTGGCCAGCCCCGCTCACAGCTGCTTAGGAGCACCAGCTTGAGCGCCTCTCCCAGGGGCTCAGTGGGAGCACTAGGCTCTGAGGGCTGTCTCCTTAGCCATCGTGGCAGGTGCTCAGCTCCTTCCTACGCACTCATGGGCTTCTGTGACCAGGCCTCTCCCCTGGGCCTGACCTCCTGAGAGAGGAAACCCCCCTCCCCCTGCCGTCGCAGGGTGCAGCCTCCTTTGCTCTCAGTCCTCCTGA